GAATTGCTTCTTACAGATGAGGCCCGGTGGAACAGCGGTTACACATTGTGCTGCTAACCACCAGGCCAACGGTTCAAAACCACCGGCTGCTCCTTGGAAGAAAGAAGAGCTTTCTAGTTCCCTAATGAGTTACAGCCCCAGAAACTCACAGGGCACTTCTGCCCTGTCCTGTTGGCTTGCCATGAGTCCGCATCAACTCAATGGTCGTGAGTTTGGTTTGGTTTGGGGAGCTCTTTATATGTTTTAATTTTTTTTATTATTTTGCCAAGACACTTAGGAGATGCGATTGCACTTGAGGATGGATCATCTAGAACACGTTTAGAGTAAAGGGAAATTCAGCTCGTACTGTATCACAGCTTTAAGACTAAGCAGAAGCCTTGGTTTTTCGAGTCTTGTGCAGCTGTGGTGAAGCTGCTCTCTTGTTGAAGTGTCACATATGTGCAGAATGAAGACAGCTGGAGGAGCACTTTTGCACTGAATGGACTTACTAACATGAGCCTTTCCCCTGCTTTCTTTTCCCTTTCCAGTCTCTTCCAGGAGAAGCACAGAATTGGGAGAGTTTGCCTTTAACGCGGTCTTTCCAGGAAGGTGTCCCATGGCCCGGTCCTTACAGTGGAGCTGTCATTTCTCACTGTGCCCAGCAGAGGGCACTGAATGGTCGCGTATCCTTCGCCAAGAGCGATGGTTTGGGGCTGAGCAGGTCTCTGGCTGATCCCGCTTCCAGGCTGGGCCCCTCTCAGCTCTATGAGACCTGTGCATGGTCCAACAGCGGGCTCTACAATGGTGCAGACCTGCTTCAACCTTCCACCTCTGGAGTCTCTTCCGATCACGACGCCCTGCAAGCAGGGAATAAACATGTGGTTTTGGAGAGAAATCCTCTCACTGGCAGATGTTGCCCTAATTATTATCCTTTTCCTCCGGCTAGCTGGCCTCACGACTTCGCCCCTTCCCTACACTCTCCAGAGCTCTGTTTCCAGTGGAGTTCCCAGGAACTGCCTGCAGCCAAACTGAGCTGTCACCCGCCATGGCCAAATCCAGGGGCTGGTGCTTATGAAGAGAAGGTGCATGGGGATTTGAAAAGCTGCTTCCCTTCCACCCCCCACCAGGAAGATCCTTTCCTCCTCACCCACACCCCTCATCCTCACCATCCAGGTTCCCTACCAGGAAAGAACAGGGAAGAAGATTTGGACAGAGAGACTGGACGCGTGGGTTTACACCACGGCAACAGTGACATGCTTCCAAACCTCTGTCCTTTCAGGTGACCTGACTCCTGCACGCCCACCTCCCCAATCACCAGGGCTGTTTTTGAGAGATAGCTCAAAGCATGCAGGAGGGGAAGAGGTTCCAAAGACAGTCAGCTGAATCTGTTGCCCTTGGTTCCATCCTGACACAGATGGAACCCAGAGAAGATCTCACACAGTGGTTCTCAACCTGTGGGTTGAGACCCCTTTGGGAGTTGAACGACCTTTTCACAAAGGTCGCCCGATTCATAACAGTAGCAAAATGACAGTGATGAAGTAGTAACAAAAATAATGTTATGGTGGGGGACGGGGTCACCACACCATGAGGAGCTGTATGAAAGGATCAGGGCATGAGGAAGGTGGAGAACCACTGCTCTAATAGATCTTCCTTCTCACAAAATGTAACCTGTTGGACCTCCTGCCTCCGGTCTCAGTAAGACATGGAAACGTCCCAAGTGAAGGGAAGCCTGTTCAGCAATTTCTTCCGTCATTTAGGGCCCTCAGCTCCTCACTTGCTCTCTGTTGGCTCTCCATCATCCCTGTTGCATCCGCGACAACTGAGATGCAAAAAAGAGCATTGCATTCCCACTGAGATGTCGATGAAGAACACTGAGAACCCGTGGACCACCGGAAAAACAAGTAAATCCGTCGAGAACATGCATTCCCAAACTAATTTGGTCTACCACCTTGTTTGAAAAAAAAAAAATCACTCAGGGCTCTCCTGGCAATTAAAAATGTTTGTACTGCAGCCCATATTCCCGGATCACGTGTGGGCATTACGCCCTGGTGCCCAACAGGGGGCCGGAGTTCACACTTAAGGAAACGCTGGTCTAGAAGAAGAAATACCACCAGAAGTTTCTTGTTAGAAACAAGGGTGGTGAGACATTTGGCGTCTTTCCTTTGGACACATCGTCGGGAAAACCCAGTGATTAGAAAGTCTAAGGACGTGATGTTGGGTAATGTGCGGGCCTGCAAAATCGAGGGAAAGCTTCAAGGAAATGGATAGACACAGCGGTCCCAGCCATGGATTCAAGCAGGAGTGTGGTGTGGACGGGGCAACATGTCATTCAGTGAAGACTCATCGGATTGCCAAGATCTGGACACCACTCGACATCAATTGACATGAATCCCAAGCTACATCTTGGAACCTGTGGGAAGGGAGGGACTGAGGGAGAGGGAGATGGGGCCATGGGGGATGTGGAGAGCTGAGTTACGCCTGAGAGACATCATATATGGTCTGTTTATGGGGTTTGTTTACAAAATAAATGTTCTTGATTTATGAGACTTGTTAAACAAACGCTGTGGCCCAGCTCCGTGGGGTGCCTTCCTGTGTCTGCCCTTCCCATGAGGCCTTAGGTTTTGTCCCCTTCACCTGTGTTCTGTACGGCACCTGCCTCCCCGG